GCTTCCTCAACCGTCGGCTGGTCACTGTATTGGACGAGAATATCAACCATCGCAACTTGATCTTTTCTAGCTGCCTGTACCAGTGCAGCCACTATGTAAGGATCCTCCTTGATATAAACTCCAGTCATCGGCGCCAATAGATGCAGCATATCTGCGCTGTTGTTTTCAACAGCAATCTTCAGGGATCGCCCTACATCAGTAGGATCGCACTTTTCAACCAATAACTTGGCCATCTCCACGTCACCACGAGATACTGCATTTTGTACCATCATTCCAATACGTAAATGATACCAGGAATCCTCCAAGTTTCTCGCTTCACACTCGTGAAGCAGTAACTTCACCAGCTCGTGGTTACCGGGCTTTGTTGTTTCTTTCAGCACAAGTCCTATTAGCTCAGAGGAACATTTTACCGCGAGTATCTTGACCATCTCGGCGTTTCCACGCTCAGCCGCAGAACGGCAGGCTATGCTGATAACACCTTGCATCATTGGAACGATATCAGTTGAAACATTTGGTTTACCAAGCGTGAAATGGTCCATAAGAAGCTTAACCACAGCGCAGTGATCATTCTCGGCTCCATCGGTCACAGCACGCATGATCGAACCGCTGTCAAACTCGCATGTGCTCATCAGCAGGTTGACAAGGTCAGTCCGTCCGTTCTGGGCTGCGCAATACATCCCGAGCACCAGCTAAATTACACTTGGGAAGCAATATCTCGACCATCTCGCAATGTCCGAGCTTTGACGTCGTCATTAACGCAGCATTTCCCCTGGCTACGTTATAACAGTACCTTCTTTCAACAAAATAACGCACCACGCTTACTTGTCCATTGGCCACTGCTGCATTAACAGCTCTGTAGATGTCGAAAGGCCAGGGTCCTAAGGCTTTGAGCACGTCAACGTGGCCATTGGCTGCCGCAGCTATAAAAGGAGGAATTTTGTCATATATTCTTCTTTGAGAGCGTTGGAACTGCACCACAGCGAGCTGTCCGGCCCCTGCTGCTGCAGTTAGACACTGTGTAAAGTGGTACTCTTTTGGGGAGTACTGGATGAGCCACTTGAGGACCCGGAGATGTCCATTACTCGCTGCTCCAGTGAAGGCAGCTTCGGAACAGCCGCTTCTTCGTCTACCACTGGAGAGCCACTGGACAATGCTGAGACGTCCTCTGGTAGCAGCTCCGTCCATAGCGGCATCGGTCAAAGGACGAGAAGCTCCGTACACCTGAATGACACGGTGGAGGCCGTTGTAGACAGCCGCATCGATGGTGTGGGGGAGGAGATAGGAGGAAATTAGCTCAGGGACGTGCGAGATGCCCTGGATAGAGTCAGGCATGGCCCGCGAGACTCCGACGACAGGTGGAGGAGCCATCATGATCTGCAGCTTTTTGTTGATTGACAACGTCGTTTTGTTGAGTGCAACGTAAGTTGCTGCAAGATTTTCTTAAAAATTATTGTATTTTTAATAAAAGTTATTAATTGGGTTTTAAACCGAATTTTGTTAACTCAGGGTTCGCCAAAACCCATGGTCTCGGATTTGGGCGGGTGGTTTTGACATTTGGCATGGGTGGGTGGGTGTAGGTTTGGTTATTTGGCCCATATGGCAGAAGAGCCAGAATAAACCGAAACTGACGCGCTTAGGTTACGAAATCGAGGTCAAATTTTTCAAGTCACGGTTCATTTGAGCCCGACAATCAGTCGGCATTTGAACGCCATTGTAGAAATGAAATGTACATATAACTACTCAAAAAATAATTTAGCCCAAAATAGAGGTCTTTAGCAGTTTGTTCGGTTCAGTCAATTTTCGATCGGAAAGTAAACCCACCCGACAAGGCATCAAACTTACTTTAGCATGATCTGTACTGTTCGGTTAAAAAAAAATATGCTGTTCCCTACAAATAGCATCAAGTTCTCCCTAAAATTATAATTGTGTGAAACCATTGCCTTGCTCACTATTTCACCATTTATCTCGAAGTAAACAGACGAATGGTTTTCCGATTCAAGATTGAGCACGACCAAGAGCTAATGCTGGAGCTCATCCGCCTCAAACCCTTCTCAGCAAAGCGAGGTACGACAGGACATGTCTGGGAGGAAGTTGCCAAAGGAGTATCTAGTGCCATACAGGTTCAACTCAACGTGAAGCAAGTTCGCGATCGTCTCAATCTGCTCAAGGCCAAATTTAAGGCCGACGAGCTATCATCTGCACGTGCCAGTGGTGTAGAAGAAG